ACTGTCGATGGGATACCAGAATGTATTCAATGCAAAATAGGAAAAAAAAATATCAATACATTGTTCTTGATTAGACAGTCTAGTATATCAGTTAAACCGATCTGTTTTTCTACTAAAAATCAATGTTTTTTCACATATAAAACTAGTTTTCTTCATCTCTTTTTTATATGTTTAGGTAACTCATCTGAACAATTGTTCGATAAAGCCGTATCATCGACGAATGATTACAATTATTCATCGGTAGTACCCGTTAAAACTTGACGATTTTCTCTCTCTATCTCTCTTTTCCATCTAGTCATGTAAAAAAATAGATATCTAGTCGATGATTTGCAGTGAATTTTGCTATATTTTTTATTTACCAAATATTAATAGAGCTTATTTTTTTTATTCTATAATATTTAAAAGTACAAAATTTTTCATGTAAACCCACACACGCATTTGACCATTCTGTAACTATTTTTACGAACAATAAGTACAATTAATAGACTCTCGCTACTATTAGTATATTCTTTTTTTAGTATTATAATTATATCACACACTAGTCGTTGTCAACGTCGTCATAAATGTTATGCTTGACTTGTTGATTTGCTTTCCTTTTATGTAATGAATCCTCAGGTAGTGAAAAAATTAATCTTCTGATTCTGCAGGTGCTACATTGTAGAAGAAATGATACCTAACAAGTTCGTCAATAATCATTTTATAACGAATATATGGATATTATACAATAAAAACTAGTTTTTTTTTTGTACGTTTTATAATCAGATGTATTTTTTTTTTGTTACATTTTAAAAATAAGGATAATTTATATGAAATGTGAAATTTGATCTGTTATGTCAATTTTAATTTAGTTTTCATTTTACAATCGTCTATCAGCTACTAGAAATTCAAATAGAATTCATTTCTGAAAGAACCAAAATAAGAATATACTACGTTCGGAAGATGTTGCATTCATAATGTATGTTATAGAATGGGATATTTAATATTGAAAGAATTTTTCTATCAAATTAAATGATGAAAAGCTGAGATTTATTTTAAATTATAGATAAATAAAAAATTTCAATCTTTCCTTTGAACATAGAATCTTTTTATATTCAATTTCATACAACTGATTCATAATCATTTTCATATCATACTTGATCCGTTAGTTTTGTTAGAATAGTGTGCGTATTCGTACGATTTTATAATAAATTGTTCCTCTCATAAAAAGTATGTTTATGTGAAAAATAGTAAGAATCAAGAATGCGTGATGTATTCATGTGGTAGCTATATACAGTAGGTTCGCTTATTCAGATGTAGAATATCTTATTGAAGTTATTCGTATTTCATAGCAAAATTATATTTACATTAAATAAAACGTGTAACAATAGACATGAGAGAAATACAGCATGTAAAATTGTACTTTATCAAAATCAGAAAATATTTTCATTTCGATTTTCTCTCTTGTGATAGTGTTATCCATTATAATTCAATTAGCTGAGATTTGATTGTTTATCATTTCTTCATTTTCAACTACAAAATGAACAATTTAAAATGCATTTCAAGTACTTACCAAGACATAAGCGAAGTTCCCACAAAATCAAATATATATATTTATCTGATATCCAGTTTTTGATAATTAATATTCATTTTACTGCGTTTAACTTAAAATCTTGCCACACGATTTACTGTGTTTGTGCACGATTGACTATTTAATAAATTTTTCGTTTAATATTATCCTTCCTTGAACGATGCTAAAGCAATTGAATGAACTATTCTCTGTTAGCTGAAAACTAAATTTTTTTTCTTTTATCGTTGGTTTGGATTGTACGACATTCAAACAGACATTAGGTGGAAAATCTAAAGTGCGCTTTTTTCAGACTCAGATAGTAGAGTATATACGCCGATCTATGGACTATTTAATGCCATAAAAAATTGTGTTCCTAGTACTCCGAATTAGGGAAAAGCACATAGTTCAAAATTAACTTGATAACAGAGAGGAATGAGGTGGAAATATTTTTTTAATAAATCTAGTGAAATTTAAAATAAAAGCGATGTAAATTATGAATCTAGCCTTGTTTAGCTATGTAACAGTGAAAACGTTTTTAGTTTCGATCTATACTTTTTGTTTAAGCTTTATTTATAAAAGAAGAAAAGAAAAGTATTTCCATCACGAATAAATATAGAACAGCAAAAAGACAGGAATAGACTCATGACATCATTTTGACCGTTCAACAAGCAAAAATTGCTAGTATAAATAGTAAGTAAAGAGAATAACATAAAAGGACACACAGAGAGAGAGAAAAAAGAGAAATACAATCTATACTTTGTGAGAAATAAATTGTTTTTCACGCTAGATGATATTCCTTATGAGTCATTACACGAGAAAAACGCCTGTTTGCCACAGAAGCACGCTCAATGAATTTTTCAGATTTGACTGTGACTAGTCTCATCTTGTAGAGCATATTTGAAAATCTATAAATCAAAGTTTTTAGCTTTCTTGATCTATTCATTCTGTAGATACGAGAATTTTTTGCAGACGACATCGTGCGAAAAAATAAATGGGTAAAAAACATAAAATCGATATATCTTGAGAACGCAAAGAGATAGGATCAAGCGTATATAGTACTCAATGTCTACTATATAGTAGACACTATATAGTAGACATTGATATATAGTAGTAGTACTATATACGCTTGATTTTATGTTTTTTACCCATTTATTTTTTCGCACGATGTCGTCTGCAAAAAATTCTCGTATCTACAGAATGAATAAATCAAGAAAGCTAAAACTTAGATTTACAGGTTTTCGAATATGCTCTACAAGATGAGACTAGTCACAGTCAAATCTGAAAAATTCATTGAGCATGGCTTGTTGTGGCTCTCGTGCACTGGCTCTTATGAGGGAACCGATGTAACTGTCAAATCGGTTTTTCAATGAGACCTAGTGGATTATAGGTTATCGACTATGCTGATTCCGAATATGACCATGGCAGTTGCTTATAGGTTTCCAGAGATCCGTTTTTTGGAAAAGTAGTTTTTTCAGAAACTCAAGAAAGTAACCAAAACCTTTCTTAAGGCATACTTGTAGCCGCCACATTTCTGATTAAAATGAGACATCTTCCAGCTCTACACAATCCTTCTTTGCAAAGTTATACAATTTACAAGAGTAGCCCTAAATTAATTTCTTCTTGTTTCTGTAGCTTTGAGCTGACAATGAATATTTAGAGCTTTTCTTGTAAATTGTATAATTTTGCAAAGAAAGGTCGTATAGAGCTGAGAAATGTCTCCTTTTAACCAGAAATGTGCGTGCTACCAGCATGGCTCATTAAGAAAGGTTTTGGTTATTCTTTAGAGTTTCTGAAAAACTAGTTTTCCCAAAACCGGATCTCTGGAGACCTGTAAGCAACTGTCATGGTCATATTCGGAATCAGCATAGTCGATAACCTATAATCCACTAGATCTCATTGAAAAACCGATTTGACAGTTAAATTGGTTCCCTTGTTAGAATTGTCATCAGTGAAGTTCAAAAATTTTTCAAAATTTCAAAGATGCTCAAATTGTGCTTATATATATATATATATATATATACTACATCTATACAGATAGCACAAATGCGCCTAGAGCATACATGAGGTTTCTCAAAAACTCTTGGTTTTCAGCTAAAATCTGTTTTTCGCAGTCAGCAACACTTTTAAGAATAAATAACATCATATTCAGAATCACCGCGTCGAATTGCATCGAACCATGTATGATACAATAAGTTTTGGACTGAAAAAACATTCATCGATATTTTCTATCATGAATCAGCAAGATCGATTTTTCGTGAAGACGTTAATTTCGTTTTGAAAAGCATCTGAGATGACTAAATAATGATAATTATTCATGAAAAAATGACTTATAAACAAAAAATTGTGACGTCCGCTTGCTGTTAGAAAATGTCCGCTGTGTCGCGATATCGACCTTTTCTAATTTCATGATAAAGCCCACACAGTCTTATTCTATCTTAAAAATTTCATTTTCCAATTTTTCTTCAAAATGTTCATTATACGATATTCATTCAACTCAAAATATATTGATCAATATTTTATTTTTTAATTTCTAATCTAGCACGATTAATGCAAAAAAGCATGCTTCTGAATGTAGAAACGCTACATAACGGGATTTTCTTCACATGAAGCAGTTTCTTTTGATTATTTGTTTATATTCATATAAACCTTTATATTGCTTATTCTTCCCTCCTGTAGGTAGGTGAATATATATAGACTTAGCCGCATAATTCGAATAACACACACCTGTGAAGGACGCCGTAATTTATTGTATGACATTAAACAAAACAAAGTTGTTTTCAAAAATATCGATACACCAACTGTAAATACCAAGTGAGTTTACGAGTAAATACATGACTCATTCCAAGTCCTTTTCCGGAGTCTAGAAAAACCATGTTTCGTCTTCTTTATATTAAAAAGTCCTTGTTTATTCTCAAATGTAAAATGGTCCAATTGCGGATACGAGTTAAAAAGACTGTCTTTTAGTTATTTTGACAGGTAGCTTATTTGTTGTTCAATATACTGAACTAACTACTGACAATAGTTATCAATCTTTTACAGTCTGTCAGGTCAAATATATGCAAGATACTCGCGATATTTGTTATATTCACAAAAAGTTTCGACAAATTTTATCAGCTAAAAATTCCAAAAATCTGATGAACAGTGTCAAAATTTAGGATGGGAAGGTCCACGTTTTCCCCACCCTAAACAGAAATCATGATTACAACATTTGTATATCAGTGATTCAGTCACTAAAACTGAGCACAACATTTCTAGTTTTCTTCTATCAAATGCCGCGGTTGCAAGAACACTAGCTCTACAGTACAATGGGAAATTATCACTTTGGACTAGAATGAAAGGTTCGGGAAAACGACAGTCCGTCTGGGAAATAGAGAGAAAATGGTCGACGCACAATAGGAATTTTTTACCTAATCATTATTTTACCAAAAATATTCGGCCTTTATCAGTTTTAGTCATGCAACCTGGTATACCCACAGCCGGCAACGGCCAGGTTATGATAACCGAAGCGCAGTTAGCAGACATCGCAAATCGGGCTCATGCCGAAGCAAAGTAAATGATAGTATATGTTTCTGTGAGATGTGTTTACGGCTTTGTTCTCCATTCAGAATAGTTGGCGCTGCAACTGCCCCTCTCACAGTAGTATTTATAGCCATCGTTACTCTGGCAGCAAGTGTAGCCGTGGTACTGTGTAAGTTTTCGATTGGTGTCAAAGCATCTATTTTATACTGTTCTCTTTGATTTAGCTCTCATCCCGGTCTACGTTCCTAATCCAGCCAGCGGTCCACATTTAGTTGCAAGTTCGTTAAAGAAATATTATTTGCTTGATATCTCTCCATCTCTTTCTTATCTAAAGTTCACGTGTTGCCTTGCAGAGAGCTATGGGCTACCCTCGTAAACAATTCTCTTGAAGTTATTGAACTTTTGATCACCATTTGACAACTAAATTTCGATAATCACTTTTTCGGCGCAGAAAACAGTTCATTAACTTTTTATTCGTGATATGATTCTGATAGTATGTACAGAGGTTAATATAATTACACGAAGCAAAGTACTCATTAAAAGTACGACATCTCTCTCTGTCTCTCTCTGCACTTATCCGTTCAGTCATGCACACGAATATTTTCCCACTCCCGTATGTGAAGAGTGCCCGTATATCTCTACTAATGACGAAAACTCACCATGATCGTCCAGCTCTTCTCGCTAAAAGTAAGACGAAAATGTTCAATCATTTGGAGCGTTGTAATTTTCATAATTCAGCGATCAAAGTCTCCTAGTAGAAGTTTTCATCAACTCATTGCGATGTATCTTTACCTCTCTGCTTCATACTGTTCACCTAGACGTCGAAATCAAGAAGCTACTCTTGAAACTATATACTCTCTCATGTTTTTCTACAGCTCGTCGACCAACGGACGTTGTCACGACTGCCCGACCGACGCGACACTCGACCATTCGAAGAGTTACAACAAGAAAGACTTCGGTCGTGCCAGCCACAGCTGAGACTGATGTGACTGGGGTAAGTTGCAACTTGTATCCGATCTGAACAAAATAGTCTCACACCACAGTAGACTGTAACATCGTAAGAGAATGTTTTGTGTACTTTCGAGTGCAGTTGAGTTTTAATGATCTAGTTAACTCGAAGTGCTGTATTTGTGGTAAAACTGACAAAACTTGTTTACATCTCAGAACAGTTTTAGCGCATTGCATGCTGGATGTTGTCAACTGATGACATAGAACAAAGAGGTAGGAGCGTTGAAAGAGTCAGCGTTAATCAATATACAGTTTGATAGAGCCAGTCTGTGTGTAAGTAAAAATTTCGCTTTGTGTCTGATTACTTTTTGAATTGTCTAGGATGGTTCAGTTACAACCATAGCCAGTGAAGAAGCACAATATGCTGCAGATGAACCATCTGGAATATTAACATGATTTCTCGAACATTTTTTTAATGGTCAGTTCTCGAAGGTCAGCTTTTTTCTGAAAATGTTTTTAATGATGTTTTTAATTTTGTTATCATGAACATAAACACTCGAGTCTGAGGACAGACGTGTTTGTATCGATTTCAAATTTTTAATATTAAATTATTTTAACATTGTTTAATAAAATATACAAACGAATACAGAGCGAATTTCAAAAAACGTATATATATATATATCAAATTTCGTTCTCCGGTCTAATTTCAATATTTTATATGTATATATATACGGGTTTTGCCCTAATATGCACTAAATTAGAATCCCTTAAGATATTTGTGGATGACGTTACAACACTTGCAAATATATATTACACCTTTCTGAGCAAGAATATCACCTTCTCTCGTTATTCGCGAGATATCAGAAGACCGAACCTCCGATTGATTTGAACTTTCTGACAGAGAAAAAAAGGATTGATATAGGAGAATGTATTTTTATTTAGATCTCAGACTGACGACACTCGACTGGATTTCTGTAGTTCTTGATGTTACTCTACTAGGTTATCTTTCGATTCAATCGAGCTGCGATATAATTACAGATTAATCGAAGTATATCAGAATAATTTTCAGATATAAACTCGACTGTCTTACCGCATTTTTTGAAAATATTGAACTAGAAAAAAAATTTTGAAGCTGCAAAATGTAAATCTTTTAACAGTTAGATATTTACATTTTGTATTTCAAAAAGCCAAAAAATGTAGTTTCTATTTTGAAAACGCAAAGTGACATTTTAGATTTTTCTAAGATATAGAATCAATGTTATTTCATATTGATAAAAATACAAGTTACAATCTTCTAAAAGTAAAAAGGTAGCAGTGCATCTTCATCATTATGTCAAAATGTTGAACGATAAAAATTCTCTTTAATATCTCTCATGTCTTGAATTTAAATGATTTTCTATTTCGTTCGTCGTTAAAGTCTTAAGAATAGAGCGTAATTTAAGTTGTCTGCTCATAATAAGTTTTTCAATTGTATAATGTTGTAACTAATAATTTGTGTGATTTTCTAAAAATCTAAACGCTGTAAATATGGCGAACAGAAAAGATTTACTTTGTATCAGAACGCCATGACTATGATAACATAATAAGTACCAAGATTCTTTAACTCTTGATTTTATCTCAATTGTCTTGTTGCATCTGATTTATCCTTCAGTCAGGTAGATGAGAATGCTTTAGTGCGTAAACACTTAGTGATGTCATCATTCGTGGTGTTAGTGCAGAAACGAAGTGCGGCGTATAACTTAATTAATAGATTGATGCTACTAAGTGACGCAGTGGCGGATCCAACCGACGAGCAGTACGAGTGACCGCTCGTACCTTTTTTAACCAAAAAACTGTTTTTCCCGGCAGAACTTTCTTAGAACAATTTGTTTCTATGACCACCGCATGTATCTCGCAATTATCCTATACCGCACGTACCCAAAGAATAATTCTGGATCCGCCACTGCTAAGTGACGTGACTATGCTGGATCGAGATAGGTCTGATTTATGCTGCAGTTCCATTTCATGAAAACAAAACTAACTGAATCAAGCGTGAGGACAGCGGCAATTGCAACGGCAAATTCACTTGTGAGTTAACGCGTGTCACTATTCCATAAATCAATACTGAATTCATAATTTTGATGCCATTGTTATTGTTGGTAAACACTTTTATTTAGATAAAATAGATAATTGAGGTAACTATTATGTTTATTCTTGTACCGAGAATTAATGAAAAGCTGAGATATTGAATTTATGTAATCTTCTGAACAAACAGAAAAACATCGTGTTGTACAAGAACGATCAGACACATAAATTGTTCAGAGGTGCGAGATAAACGAATGATACATCTTAATCATTACGATCGTCTATTCAAAGCTTCCCACGATTAACCAAATGCTATTAACAATGTTTAAATGGCAAAAATTTATAACTAATGCAACCGTTGTGAATTTTGCTTTATTGTAAATTTTCGATCTTATACGGTCATGATCACACACATAATACTAACATCGAAAATTCAAACTGAAAAAGAAGAATATATTTCTTTCAACATGTGAATAGCAGAAAGCAATCCTTGTTTTTTAAATCTGGTCTTGTTTATGAAATTGCTTGCCCTGATTGTGAAGAAAAATATGAAACGCGTTGCCACCTGATCACTAGGGTTAATGAACAGGTTAGTGATCTAAATAAGCTGCTGGCTTCATCACCAGCGCGTATCGAGAAAACATCGTCACATTTAACAAAATCGTATCAGGCACAAGTAACCGCTATTCAACAAAAGATTATCGATGACCACTTATACGTTAGAAAACGGACATTACCATGCTCATTACATCTAAATCAAGATGACATTGATGAAAAGTTGAAAATACAAGTTGATGATACAAACTAAATAACAATACAAAGTCAGCTAAACTTGAGCTTTTGAATTAAACGATTCATCATCAGAACAGGCGTGTTACATGAGAAAGTTAGTCTAGTCTAATTTCATGTCATTTCGACGAGAATCTTTGACTCAAACGGTATGATACAAATGCACAACAGCTTAATGGTCCTTATAGATCCGTATCTCTTTATGTGTTTCAAGGGTATCCTCTCGTTTCGTCCCGTCTCATTTCGTCCCACACTTGTTTCGTCCCGTTTACATTTTCTATCATTCTACTCATTTTATAACTATTCATTTTTTTCTATCAACTGTATACTAATCAATATTAATATAA